TTATATTTTAATTATGGGAGTAATTATCTCCCTAATTAAAATATGACTTATTCCCAAAGGAAGAGGGAATATTCTGGGTTTTCTGCTCCTATAAATAGGAGACGCCCTAGACCCTCTAAACACACCTCAGAAGAGCAGAAGAAATACGATAGAGAGTGAATTCATAGAGCTCCGGTTTTCCGCACAAAACCGATGAGCAATAAATAAGAGTGGCTGTTTTATCCTGGAGGCGACCGGCTGTTAGTCTGCTGTGCGAATTATGAGGCAGTGCCGCGAACGTCTTAAAGAGAGCGACCTAGTCCGCGACTCAGCCAGATCGGTAACCCTATTTTCTGTTCGGTTTCCAACAATTTTAAGACGCTTGGTGCTGTTGTGTTTAACAGGGGAATCGCTTATGGCTGAAACAAATTTGATCGCCATCGAGTTTTCTTGACGTTCGCTCGCTCGATCGGGCCAAAAGATGCCCAATTGCCCTGCTTCGGAGATAATTATATTCTTTCGAGCATAGCTGCTCGCCTGCTACAATCACTACAAATAACACTCTGGGAATTTGGAAGATTGGTTTTGGAGGGAGTTGAGAGAGCTGGCAGCAGAAGGAAGATTGGTTTCTGGACCATGTAAATAAAAGAATGCCCGGTTCAATTAAACCACCAAAGAAAAATTGATCTCCGCAAGCTACCTCGGCCGGGATCCAGAGCGGCGGGTTCTAGGCTCCGATTGCAGTCGTGGCGACGAGTACCGACGACGACCAGAACCTCGCGACGATGACGCTGGGGAAGCAGGAACAGCGGGCAAAGAAAAAGTAGCCGCAGATGGCCTCCGGCGGCGGCGGGATAAACGAGTTCCGGCGGCGCCGACGGGATAAAAGAGTTCCAGTATTCTCTCGGATTCCGTGAGCCGCTGTTGCTGAATGATGCTTTATTGCAAGGATAAGAGAGATGAAAAGGAAGAAGCAGAGGACCTAATTTTGAGCGAGTAAACCAACAAGAAGCTTCCTTTCCATCAGTTCTGGCCCGGGCCAAATTAATGAAAGCCGCTTCAGTAGTGGCCCAAGAAGCCGAGAAGGGTGAGACTCAAGGAAGCTTTACGTGGGCTAGTTTTTCTGCTTGAAACGATAATGGTTTCTCAAAAAAGAGGTAAGAACTAAAACCTATCTCGTGAGTCATTAATGAATGATAAAAGTAGAATTCATGCCTATCAGTTTTATGCATGGAATTGAGAAACCTAATGAATGTTGAAAGGAAATCTAGAATTGATGCATGTTGACATTGAGATTTATTACCTCGATGATTAGAAATTGAATACATGTTGTGGAGTATAATGATTTTGTTTAAATGCATGCATATATGTGAAGAATATATGGGAATAGAATGGGTTTATTGCCCATAATAACGATATTGTAAGAAGTACTATATATAGTACTACACGAACCACTTAGGCTGCTATGAAACATTAAAGTTTCAAGAACGAGAGCAGCAAGCTGAACCAGATCCACACCAATTAGAATGGTACCCATCGTGGTAACCATAAGATTGCCACCCAATCCTCTAAGAATGACGCTATGTTTCTCTGTTATTTGTGAGAAACTAAGTCATATAACACGAAAGTGTAAGAACAAATTTAACCTAGTGTAAACTTGACTAAAGAAGAGGATTTGATGGTAATGATCACTGAGGTGATGACAGAGGAAAGCCTTAATGGTAACTCTGAAGAATGTGGTTGGATATTAGCGCCTCAAGGCATGTGTATGACAAAAGAGCTAAGCTCAATCATACATTGAGGTGTATTGAAGGGGAAAGTGTTGTTGGGCAAGACCCTCACCACTATTGTTGATGGTTTTGGGAAAGTGGAAAAGAACCCTAGCTCTAGAAAGTCATTGACTTTCCAAGTGTGTCTGTGTGAAGAATTAGAATATCTTATTCCCATATTATTATTGGATGCTTGAGAAAAATTTAAATATCCAAGCTAAAGGACCCATAAATATGTGATTAGAGAATCAGAATCAATAGATCTGATTTATGTTGATATGGGTAAACTTGATGGAAAAGACAATAAACAATTTATTGCTCTTTAGAGTGCTCTGATTGTCATACTAGTTATTTGAAATGGTTTGAAATGCCTAATTGCATTATGATTGCACTGATTATTTGATATGTGGCATGCATGTGGTAGCGTTAGAAAATCAGTGTAACATGATAACTAGAAGAGCATATGAGTGTGTTTTATGTTGTTAGCAATAAAAACACATAGTTCCTATGAAAAGAAATACTCATGTTATTGTGAAATCCATTAATGCCAAGAAACTTCCATTTTAAATAAAGAAAAAGTGGGGGTAGTGTCCTACCTACTATTAGAAATAATGGAACTAGTGGGGGTAATAAATATGAGTTTAAACTCAGAAGAAGCAAATGAACCTGAAATCGCTTAAGGTTTTTGGTTATGAATTTGTTATTTACACCCTAAGAAAGAAAGATCCTACAAGTCTGCTAGAAGTTCGAACTTCCATAAAGATGCAGAATTGTGGGAGAATCCATTATTAACGAAATGGAATTATTAGTCTAATAAGACTTAAAATCTTGTAGAGTTACCTCTTGGTTGAAAAGCCTTGGGTAATATATCGATAGAATCGAACAAGATTTGGCATTTTTGAGAATTACCTCTTGGCAATGAAGTCATGGGTAATAAATGAACTCTTAAAAGAAAAGTGAAACCTATTGGTTTAGGTTATGAGTATAAGGATCGCCTAATAGCTAAGGCTTTAAGCGAAAAGGAAAAATTGTAAATTTTCTCGTTATCTATTCACCATATGTAGAATAACATCCATGTATGTTCTGATTGCTAGTGTTGTGCGTCAGATGGATGTTAAACATGTTTCTGTGAATGGTGATTTAGATAGGAAAATTTACATGGGACAACCTATAGGGTTGTTATTCTTGAACATGCTTAGGGAGTCTATAGTTAGACAAATCATTGTAAGATTTGAAATAGACTCTAAGACAATGGCATGAATAAACTGGTTCTCTCTCATGGTTTTAAAAGTGAAAGTGACAAGTGCATTTAGTACAACTTTGAGAATGACACTTGCATTATGAATGACACTTCGGTCTTTGGTACAAAGACTCGTGATGTCAATATTATGAAAAACCATGTTGTTTGAGAATTATGAAGGTAAAAAGATCTGGATGAAGCAAAGTGTTATGCTCAGAGATCCAGATTACTAGGACAATGAAAGAGATTTCATCTAGATCAGTTTAACTACACAGTTAGATATAGAGGAAATACGAGTTCTACACCTGCATAAATGTTTGATGGTGCTAGTGTAATTTTTAAGAGCACCAAAGACGGTGTAAGAAAGTAAGAACATACTAGCATCGACAGTATGCGAGAGGCAGCTGATAAACATGAGACCCGACATAGTGGGGGTACTTGGCAGGCTTACTGATTGTCCTAGTATGAAGCATTGAAATGCTATTGAAAGGGGTCATGAGACACCTTAAAAGAACAGAAAAACCTTGGTATTTGTTATCAATGGTTTTGCTGTATTGGTAGGGTATAGTGATGCAGATTAGAATACCCTATAGAGGACTCCAAGACAACAAGCGTCTATGTTTTAAACATCGATAGAGAAGCTATGTCTTGGAAGTCTAAGAAGTAAACGATCCTGGATCAATCAACTAAGATATCAGAAATGATAGAACTAGCAATGGCTAGTAAAGAGGAAAGTTGACTGAGAGGGTCACTACTAGAAGTTCCTTTATGGGAAAGACCGATCCCTCTGGTAGTTGATTAATTGTGATAGCACCGCAACTATTGCAATAAAAGGGAACCGGTTCTAGAACGAAAAGAGATGACAAATTTGTCGTAAGCACAGTACTGTAAGAGAACTCCTAACGATAGGAGCAATGAGGGTGGATCATGTAAGATCCTAACAGAATCTAGCTGATCCTTTGACGAAAGGATTACCTAGAGAGAAAGTCCAATGTACCATGAAGGGTATGAGACTTATGCCTACCGAACCACTGATTACAAGTGATGGTAACCCGACCCGATAGACTGGAGATCCCAAGAAACGGGTTCAATGGGTAATAACAAGTCATGAGTAATATTGAGAAAAGTTCATGCATGGTGAAGCATGAATCCCAAAGCCTTGGAGGTTGAGTTAAACTCTTAATGAGATCTATACTCTATGTGGAGTGAAGTACTTTACTTTGGGGGTACTTCTGATAGACTCACCTATGTGAATGTGGGAGTGAGGCCGCTCCTTATGGAACTTTGGAGGCACAAAGTTGCTAGAGCGTTCACTAAACCGGGATAACGTGCATGGCCATAAACGCACGGCCTATGAGAGAATATCACTCAATGAAAAGATCCGGTGTGCTACATTGTCTGAGATAGGGTTCAAGACTACGAGTCACCCTTATGAAATCGGAAGTGTAACCACTACGCTAAGGTTCAAATCTTCGCGATACCTTGGCTTATGCCCGATCTTATGGAACTGTTGATGCTCAAGATAGTTTCAAAACTATTCAAGTGGGGGATTGTTGGGATGAATAGCTTTGAAAAGCTATAAATGAAATTCCTAATTAATTATCCAGTATTTTCCCATAATACATAAATAAGATGGATAATTAATAAAAGGAATATTATGGAGATAATTAGGAATAATTATCTTAATAGATTATATTTTAATTATGGGAGTAATTATCTCCCTAATTAAAATATGACTTATTCCCAAAGGAAGAGGGAATATTCTGGGTTTTCTGCTCCTATAAATAGGAGACGCCCTAGACCCTCTAAACACACCTCAGAAGAGCAGAAACACGATAGAGAGTGAATTCATAGAGCTCCGGTTTTCCGCACAAAACCGATGAGCAATAAATAAGAGTGGCTGTTTTATCCTGGAGGCGACCGGCTGTTAGTCTGCTGTGCGAATTATGAGACAGTGCCGCGAACGTCTTAAAGAGAGCGACCTAGTCCGCGACTCAGCCAGATCGGTAACCCTATTTTCTGTTCGGTTTCCAACACTGGCCGGCGGCAAAAGCCTGGACAGGGAAAGTCTTGGTGATGCCACCAAGGCTCTTGAAGTGAACTTTCCCGGTAGGCGGATCGTCGACGACGATCTCGTTGACCGGAGGCCACAGCATCAGCTCCTTGGCTTTCACACCTTTCATCTTCTTCGCCTTGTTCTTCTCGATGTACCCGCTGATCTCGGCGTCGTAGCTCACCTGCTTGCTGATCATCTTGAACAGGTGCTTCGTCCCCTTCTTCTGCACGATCCAGAAGTATCCCGTTTCCTTCACGTAGCCGGCCTCCACCATTTCCTCCAGCGGCAACATCCCTTCCGGCAGCCCGAACTCCTTCAGGAGGGATACCGCCATCTTCATCGCTTCTTCGTGCCCTTTCGCCACCGTTGCACCTTGCTTTGGATCCGCCATTTTTATGGAAGGAGATGAAGAGGGGAGTTGGTGTTTACGTGCGTATTTATAAGAGGAGTAAGGGTTTGTGGGGAAGACCGTTCGAATGGAAGGGCGTCAAGCTAGCTGGTGTGGGTGATATCGATGAGCAACAGCATTGAAGGAATCGGTGGTTTGGTTGATTTCTTTTCTAGCTCGTTCTTTAATAAGGTTGTCGAATTTCCAGACCTTTATCTTGTGAGCTTGTCACTAATTAAATATATATTTGTGATGATTAATTACAGCTTGTTATTATTCCAGATAATCTTAGTAATCCGGTTCCCAACACATGCATCTATGATGCTAATCTTTGTAACTTTTTTTTCTTAATGAAATTTAATTGTGTACATAGTGGTAATGGGTAGACGAAAAATTTTCCCACGAAATATATAAAAAAATATTAATATGATTTTGTAGGTCAAAATGAACATGTTCATTAATTATGTGCATTTTTTTAATTCGAGTTAAAACAAAGGTAATACAAATCGCTTTAAAATGCAGCGAGATTAAATAGCATTTTAATCTCACCCACTCAAAAGTCAAAACCAAGAGATCGTATATGATTATGCACAAATGCATAATCAATGGTTATATAACATAATCCACGTACACATTATCGTTTACCATCTAACTTTGGTCTTAACTCGATACTCAAGCCTTCAAATTTGGACAAAATTGTATAATAACACTCAAAGTATTATTATGTTGCTAAGTGCTAACATCAACAGAAAAAGAGGAATTAATATATGAGGAAAGTACTAAAAAGAATTAATCTAATCTGTATTAATTATATTTTTGGCTTTCGAATTTTAGTTTTCTATCGGTGGAATTCGTTGAAACTATATAATGAATATTAGAAAATAAGAAATGTATACTAGAAACACAAAAACACATGACAAAAACATAAGAACGCATATTAGAAGAACTATAGTGCGTACCACAAATCTCTTCAAGCGTACCAAAATCACTAGAATACCAGAAGCACTAAAATACTTATTAGAACACAATAATGTATACTATATATAGATTAAAGAATGCATACCAGAAACTAAGAAACATACACAGTATTGCTTTAATGCATTCCAGTAACCACTAAATGCATATCACTATCAAATGACTCAGTTTATTATTATTATTATTATTATTTTATTTTATTTTGCTAAAAATATATGTCAAGGCAAATATGATTTTGTAGAACATAATTTATTTGTTACTCCTAAACATCCTAACGCATAATTCTGTAACCTCGAATCAAAACTCCAAAATCTACAAGACTAGCTACCACCTTAAGCTAAATAAATAATCTTTAATTTATCTCGAACTGAAGCTTCTAGAATCCAATCCATGGCATCTGCTGGTTACTGCTAATTAAGGGGAACATGATCGGGAAGGTGAACGAGAACCAAGAGCTTTGACGGGATAGGCCATTTTTGTGCCTTGATGAAGAAGGAATTGGAAGAGTACATGGATTGCGACATTGGATCGTATTGTAGAAATGATTGTAACCTCGCTCCGAAGTTGATGGTTGGTGGATGTGATCCTCTGCCCAGAAGGCGTTGCTTGACGAGAGCGTCGAATAAATGAGTCCCTATGGAGAATGCTTGAGGATGGAAATGTGAGGAAGAGCAATTATATATCAGTGCATGAACTTTGGTTGCTTGTCCAGCAAGAATCCTGTAAAGGGTTTACTCGAAATGCACAGGTAAGGTAGAGATGTTAGTATGATTTCAGTTTGTAGCTGGTTGGTGTGGCGTGAGTCATTTTGGTCTCTGGTTACAATACTTCAAGGCTCAACCTGGTCAGTGCACCCTTTTTCTCGTCACATGTTGTTTCGAGTTGGAGAAGGAGAAGCTAAAGTGGGTTTGTCAACTCATCATTCCCGATCGATTTCCTAATCAGGGACGTGCTGGCAATCAAGCATGACGAGCTCCGAATTGGTCTCGATTTCGGCATAGGAACCTGTTCGTTTGCTGCTAGAATGAGGGAACACAACGTCTGAGGGTGATTTCTATCTGTCTGCCTTGTTGGAGAATCCTCTTAGAGCTATCTGAAAATCATTTACTACTACTGTTTATGTTCTGTTAATTACTTTAACCGTCTGTTACAGTCTTGATGTTTGTTTCCCTTGTATACTTACTTCATCACTCAAATCAAATTCAGGTTACCGTAAAGCGAAAGCGAAGATAAGTCATACGCAAGATCAAAGAAAGATCAACAGTTAAAGACTAGCTATAGAGTCAAGTAACTGGATGAATCGAAGCTTCAACGAATCCCCATCCATCGTCGTCAATATCCGGACCAATCCAATAACCAGTTATTGTTCTGTGACTATAACAACTTACTACATTCATAACATAAAAACTATTACTAGGGAAAAGTCTGCTCAAATGGCCTATTAATGGAATAGTTGCACTAGCACATCCAGGACCTTTGAGAGAGATGCTTTTCCTGGTGTTGCTGCCCTGGCTGAGGATGCCGTCGGTTGCTGCATGCAATGAGAAGTTATTACATACAATCATGTCTCCAATCAAGAGGAAGCTTGTTTTTTCTTCTACATTCAGCGCCAAGAATATGGGCTCAACTGTGTTTACACTATAATCATAATAATGGCAATTAGAAGATCAGTTCCTCAAGGCACACAGAGATGTTAAATGGCAACCACAGAGGAAAGTGTAGACAGACACTCTTTTGCTCGTTTAAAGACAATGACATTCTCTCCACTATACAATGTGACAAAACCCAGTGCATCATCTCTACCTAGAAAACAGACAGTACTTTCAAGTTGTATGCAACCACTTAATGCCAATACAACAGCTAGATGGTCGGAGCAGTAGTACTTTACACGAAGTTTATCTGTCAATATTGCCGATGAGTTGAGCATGAGAGAAAAACAAAATAGCCCACAGCACAAAAAGAATTTCCACTCAATTATGGCTCTAACAAAGGGTGAACACCAAAAACAACCTGGTTGAAGTTGGGACAGAAGAAGGCATGCTGCAATGGCATGCTCTTAAGAGTATGAAATGTGGAACTCTGCTCTGCTACCTATCCTAGCAAATTTTCAACTAATTTATCTCTCATTCACTTTCAGGTTACGATCATATTTGAGGATAGATATGTTTTCCAACATTTCCAAATATGAGTAGTCAAAACCAAGACCCCTAAACCCTAAAGCAGGAATATCACAGAAAAGCGAAAAACTTACCAGCTCTGCTCATCCATCTGCCTGAAATCCCAACCGCGTCAGGTTTCAGTAATCGTAATTTCTGGAAGAGTCACAAGGCATGGTGTTAAAGATCATTGATTGATTTCCCAACAAAAATAAACCCAAGGTTCATCTGCCCAAAAGTACCAGGAGCTAGCTTTTCTTAGTCTTTCCCCATGTGTTCAAAATGCAACCAAGATAAGAGTAGCCTACCTGGTCTATGAGCAAACCTAACTTGTCTTTCCTTCAAGTTCACCTCACAGCCCATGAAATATAGCTTAGTTCTAAACAGATAACTCAGTACAAGTGTATGCATTCCCGTGCTATCGCAAAAGAACCCTATTGGCTTAGAACGAACTAAGAACTAGCATAATTCCAGTTAGCTCAATGGCTCTCCAACTATACAGCCAACGAAATTAAATCCGCCGGAGCGAAGTAGCGAAATAATCCAAACCACACACAGTCTGCCGCCATTTGGGAGCACGAAACAATTAAGGCAATCGATGTGAATCGGATCGAGAGCAAGGCGGAATTAGGGAATATATAATAAGGTGAAAGAAAAGCTACACGGTTGGCCGTTATTTACCTGAGAAGATGATTCTGAGACGGGGAGCAGACTGAAGAAGCTGACACATACGACGGCCGCCATTGATGAATGAGGAGGAGCCTCGGAGCAGCTTTCTCCGTCGAGTGGAGGGGAAGGATCAGTGAAGCTCTACGCTGCCTCTGTAAATTTTACTCGCGGGCGTGGAAAGGAAAACGAGACCCCCTATTTGTCTGGGCTGCGAAGGCCCACAACAGTTCTATTCTAGCATCCGTTGGGCTTAGGTCTGGACACCATAACCATGAAGTTGGCCTTTTTTGACGGAGAGTTGGCCACTTTTTGCTTTTCCTTTCATAAATCCTAGTAGGGGTCAATTTATGGCTCTCTGTTTTTACTTTTTATAATCAGGAACGCCTCCCATATATGATATATCTCATGAATATTCGAAAAAAATTCACAGTAACATGTATAAAATCTTGTCGGAAGCTATTAAAAAACAGAAACCACTCCTCTTCGCATTTTTAAGTATAATAACTTCAGACTCGACCTAAAAACAGTCAACTTCAGACGACCATAACTAAGCAGTAAGCAGGAGCTGGAGCATTTCTGGAATCGTGTGAACTCCTCTGAGACTTGTGCTTCGATTTCTTCTCATATGGACCTGATTAAAGGAATTAGCATTGTAGTGGCTGCTGTAGTAATAATTAGCTGGCACTAAAAGTGAGTGATTACCTTGAACATCTGAATTTGGTCCTCTGCTGCATGGGAGGAATCCTATAGAAGAGACAGTACCATTACCAGCAGAGAGAAGGAAATTCAATTGAAATTGAGGATAGTTGTCCAATGTACCAATGCAAACTTCTACAGGAATGCGAATAAGAAGAAAAAAAAATAGTGTTTGCAGATGGGGAGGTGCCAAGAGAAGTGCACCAAACCTTACCTCTATATCGCGTATAAAACCTTCGACTGGACGATAAGGTGCATAAACAATACGGTCGAATTCCAAATTCTGCATCGGAAAGACGAATTTTAACTAAAAATTCATGGATAGTAAGAAACCAAGCCCAGGAATATTTATTTTTTTAAAAAACAGTAACCCATGCCTGAAGAACTATCATCTCATAAGAAGGAAAGGTCTTAAAGGAAAGCGAAAGGTTACTACTCACCAGCTGTTGGGGAGTGAAGATTCACTTGGCACGGTGAGTCGAGGTCTGGAAATCCGCCATGGCAGGAAACTCGGAATCACGCGGGAGGAAAGAGAACTCGGAACGCCTTCTTCACCGCGCTTTACCGGAGAATAGGGTGTTTAGAGGATCCCAAATTTCCTCCCTCGCCGGCGGATTCCCTAGAAAGAAAGATTGGTGCTACTCCGACGGAGAATGATCGAAGAACCCGGTGATGGTTACGGCAATACGGCGGGAATTTGGGTTTAAGAACTAAGACTGATTCTTGAAGGCCCATTATGGACTAGTCCTTCTAAGAACATTGGTTAGGGCCTCGCGTCAGGCCCAACTCGCTTAAAGCAGGAAAAGAGAACTCCAAAGAAAAGCTCCTATCAGTCTATCACAATGTTGTCAAACCGGTTTATACCGTTGTGTCGGTTTGACAAGTGAAATGGTACGATCGGTGGTAGAACCAGTTTGTGCCGGTTCATACCAATTTAAAAAATGTAAAAACAATTAATATTCAATGTATTTAATTATATATAAAACATATTTATGGACAATTTAGTTAGAATCCAACAAATATCATCAACTTTTAACTATTAAATTCATAAAATGAATAATATATTACTTTTTTATTGATTAAATTCATTAAAGTGATGTCATTTTGCTTAGAATGCACAAGTCGATCATACCGGTCATACCGGTGGTGTCATGCCGATTTCATGACCGGCACAGGTGGATGAAAATAAAACATGACAGTGGGTACACGAACAATCACCGATGCATGGAACGACGTCGCACAGATGAAGCCTGCGTCGTTGTTTATCAAGAAGAAAGCCGGAAATTTTCACCAAAAAAAGAAAAAGAAGAAAGCCGAAAAGTTGAAAACAAGGTTGTCAACCCGCGGGTTGACCCGGACCCGGTCGAGCTAGTGGGTCAAGGGTTAATGGGTCAACCGTTTTAGTCCGGTTTGGCCCGGAAATATAGAAAGAGTCATTACATTGCACTTATCCTCATAAATTATATCAAATCTTATCTAACATATGAGTTCTAACATATAATATTACACCAAAATAACATATCGTACTTAGATCCAACATATAGTGAAAATCCACACACTTATATAACATAAATATTCAAATATTCAACTTAGTATTCCAAAGATTGAGTTAGGCGAAAAGAAAAATTGGAAAATAGGCACATTTCGCAAACTAAAGAAAAAAATGACACAATTTGACCTCCAACCCGGTACCTAATAGCGGTCGGCCCGACGGGTGCGTGCGGCCCGTTTTTCTCACCAGGTCAGAGTTAAATTGGGTCGACCCGTGGGTCAATCCGCGGGTTGAAAACCTTGGTTGAAAATATCATCGATCTATCAAGAAAAGGGAAGGAAAGGAAGCTGCAAAATTTCCACAATCGGAGCTCCGATGGATCACTACAAGGTGCTGGGCGTTCATCGGAGTGCGACGAAATCGGAGATTAAGGAAGCCTTTCGGCGGCTAGCCGTCCAATTCCACCCGGACAAACATTCCCAATCCTCCGGCCAAGTGAGGGACAGCGCAGCTCTCCGCTTCAAGCAGATCTCTGAGGCTTACCAAATCCTCATCGACGATCGGAAGCGCGCCGATTACAACATCCACCGCTCCACCGCCCAACCGCGCGGCGGCGGAGGAGGAGGATATGCCGGCAGCAACTACCGCTACAACAACCGTTCATCGTCTTCTTCGTACGACGGCGGTGCGCGGCGGCGGAACAGCAGTGGAGTGTCGATGCTGGAGGTCGCGATCCGGTTCATGACGACAAGGGCGTTCCTGCTGAACGTGGCGTTCGCGGGGTGCCTGTTGGGCGGCGCGAAAATGATCGACGGCGGCGGCGAGAGGATGTGGAAGCGGTGGAATTCCGGGAAATCGTTCGAGGAAGCAATGGATTCGATCGAGAAGGCCAAATCGCAGCAGCGGCGAGGGCTTGAAGACGGCGATTGAATTGGGGGAAGGGAACTTAATTGAGTTTATTCGCACATTTACTTGTGTAATTTTTTTTATGAATAAGCCAGTTTTATTTCATCAAAGTACTGTCTGTACAAGGGTCCTACCAACCAAAAACGCTAATTACATTCGTGCAAACCTATACTACTTCAGTTCTCACCATGTACAATTAACAAATCTTACTAATTCACATGAACCAAGGCTTTCTTTTTTCAACTGCCAGTCCAAATTTCAGATTGCCTAGCATCATCGCCTCCATTATCTGCCTCAGGTTGTCAATTAAGTCTTTGCCTCAATTGTCTTTTTCCCATATACCCTGCTGCACCGCTCCCTCCAGATCGCACTAATCGTCGCATTCCACAGCACTCTCCCCACACAACAGCCTTGGAACTTCCCCACAGCCTCCTGCAACCCAGCTTCCCACCCTCCTCTAGGAAGGTAACCCCAGCAAGGCGGAAAGACAGCTTCTATCACCACCTGCACATAAGAGCATGCAAAAACCAAATGGTCTCTTGACTCCTCGTGCCCCAAACACAGAGGGCATCTATTCACAATCTCTGGCTGCCACTTTTGTATCTTGTCGAAAGTAGAAATTCGATTTAGTGTAATAAGCCACGAAATCAGAGAATTCTTAGGAATGAGAATAGGTTTCCAAATCAGCTTATACCGGGGCTTCACCTCCTGTGTAGGTCTGAAGTGTTCCCATATCACTTTTACTTTATATTTCTCCATCAACTTCCCTTTCCAGCTTACCCCTGCTCGTGTTTTTGTTAGTTGTCCCTGAACCTGACTTCTCAGTTTCAAAACCTTGTTCCATAGCCAAGCCCCTGGAGTGCTCGTCTCCCAGATGCTGACATTCCTCAATCTATACTCCTTTAGCCACGCTATCCACATGCTCTCCTGATCAGACAGAACATTCCACAGGTGTCTCACAAGGCAAGCTTTGTTCCAGCTGTGCAAATCCTTGAAACCTTACCCTCCCTCCTTCTTTGGTAGAGCTACTACTTTCCATGTTACCTTTGCTTTCTTTGTTTCAGAGCCCCACAGGAAAGCTGGGCACTGCTTCTCAATCGCAGTAATAACCTTTCTTGGCAACTGAAAGATCATCATCCAGTATTGGGTGATACTAGCTAATACTGACATAGTTCGTTGTAACTTCCCTGCATAAGAGAGTGTCCGAGCTTTCCAACCATTTATTCTTTTCAAGATCCTGTCAACTAGGGCCTGACAGTCACTAGCTTTCAACTTCCCTGCAATCAGCGGAACCCCCAGGTACCTGACAGGCAAACTGCCCTCTTGGAAGCCTGACTGTTCAATTAATTCTGCTTTCAGTTCTTCATCTACACCGGCACAAAACAGCTCACTCTTCTGCGGATTACACTTAAGTCCCGAGATCCAATAGAAGTGTCTTAAAACTTCAGCCACACCCTTTACCCCTTCCACTGAACCTTTTGTAAAGATCAAGAGGTCGTCTGCAAAACAGAGGTGGGACAAACCTATGCGCTGGCAAATACTAGTGTTAGTAGTCTTTCAATCTCGAATTCGTCAAATTAAAAATTATCAATAACAAAAATTTGAGATGTCACATTTCCTCTATTCTCCTTATTCATATCCTAGTTTTAGCTAACTCAAGACTTTTTGCTTATGGTTCGTTTGGATGAGTATTTGTATGAGTTATTTGGACACAAATAACTCGTTTCACAGCGTTTTACTGAAATGAGTTATTTGGACAGTGAGTTATTTACAAATAACTCAAAACGAGTTATGTAAAATAACTCATACACATGTGTTATTTCGAAATAACACATGTGTATGAGTTATTTTACATAACTCGTTTTGAGTTATTTGTAAATAACTCACTGTCCAAATAACTCATTTCAGTAAAACGCTGCCAAACGAATAACTCGTTTCACTACTCTGCTTTTATCAAATACCACATTTGCATGGTTCAACCAAACGAGATACTTTATTTCAATCACCACTTAAATAACACAGAAAATACCACATTGACAATTAACACATCCAAATGACCCCCTTAGTCTTTTTGGCCATAAATTAAACAATAAAATCTAATTTATATATTTAATTATTAATTGCAAAGTTCATTAATTTCATATTCGATAATACCGATTGGGATACCGAAATATTTAGAGATTGAGATTGAGATTCGTCAAATTAAAGATTACCAATGACAAGAACTTGAGATGTCACCTTTCCTCCATTCTCCTTATCCATATCCTAACTTTAGGCAAACTCAAGACTTTTTGCTTAGTTTTCTTTTGCCCTAAATTAAACAATAAAATCTCATTTATATATTTAATTATTAATTACAAAGGTAACTAATTTCATATTCGATAATACCGATTGGAATATCGAAGTACCGATTGGGATAGCAAAATATTTAGAGATTGAGATACCAGAATTATTTAGAGATTGAGATTGGGATTACTTTTGGATTGTAATTCGGTATTCGGGATTTAGGTATTTGGTATTGAGATACTGATACCGTATCGATTTCCACCCTTATATGTATGCATGATTAGTTGATTTATGTTGGTTTATATGGTTGTGTCAATTTAGTAAGTGGAATGGTTTGACTAATGGTATAATCGGTTTGTTTACGCCGACTAAATAAAATACGTAGAAATGTGTAAAATTATTAACATCAAATGAATTTAATCGGATACAAAAGATATTTGAAGACAACTTACTTACAATCATATTCACATTTAAATAAAATACGATATTGTAAATAAAATAACAAATACTTATATTTAAATATAATATTTAACATATATGTCTAAACGTTTGTATTTGAATCCAACAAAATAACATAATTTTATTAATTAAATTTACTAAAATTACATTATTTTGCTTAGATGTCATAAATCGATCATACCGGTCATACCAATAATGTTCACATTGGTTTAATGAGAGACAAGATTAATAAAAAAGGCTAGTTGACAAGTTGGAATAATGTTAGGTTTGACGTGACATATAGAAAAAAAAAGTTGAACAAAAGATCATTTAAAAAAAGGTTCTAATCATCATAGGCCCACCACTAAAATCCTATTATGTTGTCGAGAACCTGAGAGTTGCCCTTCCAAATTGTTACTTTTCTTCACACTCACACCAGTTGGACTATGTGACCTTTGACGTCATCACAAAGAACTATAGTTGCATTTGTATTAATCATAACGGAAGGCTGACTAATTCTTACTAAGCATAAGACCATATTTCACATATTGAATATTTTTCATCATTAATCATCATACTCTATCGGAAAGGGTAACATCTCTACACAATATATGATTCACTTCACTCTATGTCATTGTTGCCACCTTGCACTTTGATTGGTTCTCCTTATTTGGTGGAAGGACAATTTTGTCCATTTTTCAAAAGTTGATGTACTCAAGGGTCACTCATTATTATTGGACTTTTGGTTTTCTTTTTGTAAATGAGATCAGGATTAAGGGAAACGAATATTTGTTTTAAGATAAATATTATTATAATAATTATTTGGACTTTGCTCTATGTAGATTTATTTTGTGTGGTTGAGAAAAAATTAGAGGTTATCTAAAGTTGTTTAGCTCCACAATGAGATAATGATAGCGAATTGAATTTCGAGATGACGAAGTTGATATATTGTTGTGGCGTGGATGTTTGCGAAGAGATTCCTTTTGAATAGATTTTTTCGCATAAGATTTTTATGTTAAACAGATAAACCAAGTTTCAACCCTCAAAAGATTTAGAATCTTAATTTCACAGTGACTTTGGAAAACATGAATAGGAAGAAAAATGGGAAATCTTGGCAAAATACAAACAATTTCTATTGTTTTTAATTCTTTTAATTTTCAAATAAGCATGTCTAATTTTTTACATTAAATTTCGAAAGGTACGATTACGATCATGTTTAGTCTTAGGTTAAATAATAATTCCATCCACATCGTATCGACTCGATATTTTTTTATGTGAAATCAATAATTGCATTAAGCTCAAGCAAACCATCAGAAAAACCTGACGTGCCTCTCAAACAATACAACCAAAAATCACCCAGCAAAGGGCTATAACACTATAAAAGAGTAATTCTATAACTATACTCTATCTATATACTCCAACTCGGCCTGGAGAATAGGATCCCCTGTCACTCAATACAAGACATCGCTCTGAATTTCATTCATCAACTCTCCTGGCAGCATGATGGACTTCTTGCCATAGAGCCTGGTACATCGTTCTTGCCAAATATGGCTTAGAGCTGTACTCCATACAGTAACCTGCATAAACAATGCCTTGGATTCTTCTTTAAATAATTGAATAAAAAAATAATTGATTTTTTTACTGTATGTAATTGCTTAAAGTCAAAGAAAAATGAATGAATCACAACCATATAAAATGTTCTTTTTACTTTCATCGTTAAACTTCACTTATTTTTAGTTTCGTTCTATCATGATTCATTGGGATCGTGGACCATAACAAACCCACCAATACGAAAACAACTTAAATACTTCTTCAACCTAATTATGCTACTATTTACATCTATACTATTTACATGAATGAATAGTTCTATTAACGATTCCAAAATAGTTGTATAACAATAAACCATTAATCTTGAGTCATTGACATTTTCCATAAACAACCGCTTCGCTTTTGAAAACATAGGTAATAAACATTTGAAAATATGAGCATATTGTTAAAGGTTAACTTTGAATTCTGATAACTAAAGTTCAAATGGATGAATAACATACAAAGGTCATTTCAAGTCAAAAATATTCTTCATTTTCGTCTCCTTTAAATATACAAATTTAATACATCTATACTAATATTTCTGGATCTTAGTTGCTTTACATCAGGGCCGCCCAAGAGGGTGTGTCGGTTCGCAGTGCCTGCACAGGGCCTCTGAATATTAGGGGCCTCCAGTTAGATCCGTTAATTACCGATCAGATATTGTAGGTTGTATTTTTAGTGTATGGTTTATTGATTACGAGTATGATGAAGAG